TCTCTCTCTCTCTCTCTCTCTCTCTCTCACACACACACACACACACACACACACACACACACATTCTCTCTCTCTCACACACACACACACACACACACACACATGCATCGCTACTCCTGCAAGTCTTTGTTATTTACTTCCACATGCTTCTGGAAGCATGTGAGAATCAATTGTGATACCTCTCACGACTACCAGTGTCCTTTGGGACACATCCGGTAACATTAGCAAGGTACAGAGAAGATTAGCATACCCTTTCACCAGGTTTATATCCCCCCCCCACACACACACACACACCACCACCACCACCAAACAAAAAAAAAAAGGAAACACCCTTGACAAGGATCATAAGCATAGAGACACGGTTCTGTGAGGGCATAAGGAGGGGGTCTGAAGCGGGGGGCGGGGGGGCCACGGGGCACAGGGCAGGGGCAGGGGAGAGAGCGAGGAAAGGAGAGCAAAAGAAAGAGTATCAGTGTTGCTTCCGTACTGCGTGCGAGACGGCACACATGCATGTGTGGTTTGAGAGTTTGTCTCCCTCTGAATAGTGAAAGGCCTTCCACGATTCAGACCCCAAATTCTGATCTCAGGGTCAGAGGCCTGGACAAGAGAGGCCGAGTTTGTCAAATTCAGAAAAGTCACAGTCGGGTACCTCAGCAGTCCAGTCCAACAGGCATCTGGCAAACAGTCACATCTTAGGGGCAAGAGTCGTGTCTCATATTGAAAAGTCATATTGAGGAGTCACATCCCACAGGCAAGAGTCGTGTCCCAGAGACAGGAGTCACATCCCACAGTCAAAAGTCATGTTCACAAGTGAAAAGTCATGACTCAAAGGCCCAAGCAGCAGCAGACCTATGGAAATTCGGGAAGGTTCCAGGCCTTGACATTCAGAAGCAGACAGGCCGTGGGGATGTGGTGCCGGAACCAGTCAGGCCCCAAGAAGCAGAGGCTGGTACGAGAGGCCAGCCTCCCATTCAGTCAGATTGCTCATTCGCAAGAAGTGTGAAGTGCACCATGTGAGGGGCAGAGCGCTGAAGCCAGAAGTGCTGCGCTAAGAGAGAGAGAGAGAGAGGAAGACAGCGCTGGCAGGGAGAACGCAGCCATAGCTGCGCCAGCGCAGGGTGTTAATGTTAGCAGATAGTAGTAGACTACAGAGGGGTTAGTAGAGTTGACAGTGGGTGTATTCAGAGTAGGTCTTTAGTAGGAGATGTGTGAATGCATGTAAGTAGGGAGAGAAGACACAGTGAAGTGGTAGACAGAGAGAAGATCAAGATAGAGAGAAGACAGAAGAGTTTTGGAAGAGAGACATACCTGAGTGAAGATACGGGATATTTGGGTTGCGCTGTTGAGCGCTGGTGATAGAAACTCTTCATTGCTCATATGATAATTTGTTGAGATTATAAGCTGCGCTACCTGGTCTTCATCTTTCTCGCCTCCAGTGTGAAAATTTGTGTGATCTCATACATGCATGTAGTGTGATTGTGTGTGCTCACTGGTGCTGAACTAAGAGGTCCATTGCAAACTGGTATCGGAGCAGTTGCTCGCTGCACCCACTGGTCATCGCTGGCAACGATTAAGGACGGCGAGAAGGGAGATGAGAAAGAGAGTTGAGTGGGGAGAAGATTGACAAAGGGGGAAGAAGAAGGCTGAAGAAGAAGAAGGCTGAAGAAGAAGTGGCTTGATTACGTACCTGTTGCTGCTGCGTTGGAGCGTTGGAGCAGCCGTGGAGCTTCATCAACAGAACGTTCATTGAAGTGCATTCCCCCATTAAACCTGTATTGCTTACTGATCTGTCTTGGTGTTTGGTACCTTCCCAACCCTGGTGTCGCTGCTTCTGGGCTGGTCTAAATCGTCACATACTCGATCTGCCTTGAGTCCAGAACCAGTCCGCTCATTGAAAAAAAATATATATATTTACATATATAGTTCTGGGAAGGTATACAGCAATCAGTAACAGTCAGACCCACTCAGGAGTTAGTGAATTAGTAGTAGGGGTTAGGTCTAAGTGGTGAGGAGGTGGAGGCCGCTTACCTGTGCTTCTAGACACCATGGACGACTACCCCATGTTCTCACTTCTGGCCCTGTCTGTGCTCTGGGGCCCCCTTTTTCGCTTTATCTTTCCTCTCGGCTTCCAACAGACCTTCTGTTCACATGCAGTGCTGTGGTCTGCGAAGTCAACACAGGCGAGTACAGCTGAGGAGCAGGCAGAAATAGATCGCCGCCTCGCTGAGAAGAAAAAAGAAAAGGAGGAGAGGAAAAGAAAGGAGGAGGAGGAAGTGAAGAAAAAGTTGTTAGAAGAGAAAGAAAGGATGGAGAAAGAGATGAAAGAAAAGGAGAGAAAGATGATGGAAGAGTTGAAAGAGGAAGAAGAAGGAGAAGAAGAAGAAGAAGAAGAAGAAGAAGAAGAAGAAGATGTGGGAGATAGCTTGGAAAGGAGGAGAACCCAACCGCAAAAAGAGAAGGCTGAAAGCAGCCATGCTGGGAAAATCAGGTTGCTACAGATGGAGGCAATGGATTGGATGGGACAGTTCGGGTATCAAACGGAGATGCCGGAAGAAACTGAGGAAGAGAAAAATGCCTTTGTGATTAACATGGCATTAGCGGCGGATCAAGAAGAGAAGGATTTGTTGATAGAGGAGAAGAGGGTCAAACTCAACAATAAGTTAGTGGCTGCAAAAAGGCAGGAATATAATGATAAAAAAAGATGAAGGAGGAGGGAGAGAGGTTGCAAGCACATTTTAAGGAACGGAATGGAAAGCAAGCCGCCACAGACGAACGGGTAGCTCTTTTGACGAAAACCCTCCTCACACTAACGAAGAACTCGCTGCCCTCCATCGATCCGTCAGTAAACTAGAGTTCCATCAGGGAGAATTCGAGGGAATCTGGAACAATTTTCTGCGCACAGCCTCTCACCAAGTAGATGGCCGAATCTTTGGATACTTAAAGCAGTTAGATGAAGCCCTTACCAAGAAGATAACTGACCCTGCCGTGATAAGAAAGTTGAAGATTGGAGGCGGGGGAGGAGATGGAGGAGATGATGGAGATGGTGGGGATAGGAAAGGAAAGGGTGTCAAGAAGGAGAAGGATGAAGAAGCGGAGGAAGCTAGGCAGAAGATGAAAGTGAAGCTTCCATGGACATATACGGGGAAAAAGGAAGAGAGCATCTTCCACTGGGAGGCGGCTATGGGTACGTACCTGTACGCACAAAGATTCCGTACTGGGACCGGGTGTTAATGGCAAGTTCGTGCATGGCAGGGACACAATGAATTTCGCAATCTCTTTGATGAAAGAGGCTGGCTGCACAACCACGGTTGATTTTTCTCAATAGATGCGGATCGAAGACTTCTTTAAAGCCCTTAGAGAAGGGTTCGAAGATAAGAACCTGGCCCGTAGGACTGAGTCTATGATCCTTAACATTAGTGACCGTAAATGGAAGTGTGCGTCAGCCCTCAAGGCCCCAATGGATGAACTATTGCAATGCCCGGATCACGGATTAACACCGGCACAAGTCCTAAACAACTTCACTAGAGCACTCCCAGACCCCCGAAAAACACAACGGTATCCCCGCACTAAAGAAGGAATGACATACGAGAAGTTTAGCAACATCGTTGCTGGTTTCCTGCAAAAGGCACAATATTGTCATTATTGGAAAGACCTGCAGGCCGACACGAAATGGAAAGACCGGACGATCTCAGGGAATATAGCAGGTAAAGATAACTTACTGGTCACCTTCGAAGAAGGAGGAGTGGAGTCACGTACCTATGACCAGATAGACTGGATTAGAAGAAGACAACAATGGTCACTTAGCCCAGGGAGGGGACTATGCGACTGTTGCAGCCCGCGAGGGAGGGTGACAAGGAGGAAGACGGCGAGGTAGAGGAAGAGGAGGCCGCCGTCGTGGTGGAGGAAGAGGACCCGCCGCCAAGAGGGGTAGTGGTGAAGGTAGCTACTATGTCGGAGGTAGGGGCAATGGTCCCTCGCAAGGTGGAAGAGGTTCCTACTCCACAGGGGGAAGAGGTAGAGTTAGACGGCCATACCCGGAACACCCAAGGATAGCTGAAGACACGAGAAAGTATGGGAAGAGCATCGCAAGGCCGGACAATGTTTTAAATGTGGTGACCCCAACCACATAGTTCCCTTTTGTCCTGAATATAGGTACCCAAAAGGGAACGAGCAGTAGAGGTTGCAGTTGCCTCTACAAGGACTCTTGATGTAAGCAGACTGTCAACCTCCCATCCAGAGGTCCCAATGGCAGAGACTGAGACGGTAGTTGGCCCCCACCTAGTTAGCTGCCCAGAAGTTGCTTGTGCTAGGACTTCTCTAGGTGGTTCCCTCGCAAGCATAGGTGATGAATTGATCACTCGTCGTCTCGCTTGGGCCGAAATGAAGAAA